TGTACTGCAACACAGTGTTGATCTGATGAGACCCAACCAGGTCGAGACAGTTGTCCACGGTTGCAATTCTTGGCTTCCAGTTTGGACCCTATCATGTCGTTGTGTAGTAATCAGCCTTGCTTCCACTAACTAAACACATAACTCGCTTACTGTTTGTATCCAGCCAAACGAAGGCTACGCGTGTGCGCGTGTGCACCACGCGTGACGGACTGAGAAAGGAGGGGCGGTTCCCAATGCCACACAATCTCTTCTTTTACCGTCGTGCATGGTCTTCGCCTTCACCACAAGTAGTGAATTTGGAGGATGACGTTTCAGGCGTTGGTTCTTGGCCTGAACAAATTTTAACCTTTCAAAAAGCCTAGGCCGATCAACACTCAAAGCGTCTGCCCTCCTTTCTAAATTCAGTTCGGCGTGCGGTTTGGTAATGTTCCCATGGTAACCTCAATTTGGTAATTAACCAAGTTTCACTTGTTCGCACCCTTTTCCTGACGCAGAAAAACAGTGTATCTGAAAACTAATCTTTAATTTACAGCCGAGAGCATTAAACTTTGAGGTCGTTTGTCTTTAATTATTTGCAGTATGGGAGGTCAATTCTCAGTCTGTAGCGCTTTGCTAATGTGTGTGGGTTTTTTTGTTTGTTTTGTTTTTCATATTTTTATGAAGCAGAATCGTACTTCATCTACGTTCATCCACTTCAAAACACAGTCTCTTTGCACGTAAGCGAAAAAGTTTTCGATGGTCTTTTTACGAACCGAGATTCTAAGATCCTTTGTACACAAATAAGTCATGACAAACACAGAGTGCAAAAGTTCTTTAGGTGTTGCTGTACGTGATTTATGTTCTACTGAGTGAATCCTGATCAATTCTCGCATAAGTCAAATCACGATTCGTTACGTTGTAGAAGAAAGGGAAGATAAATTTTAACAATCTAATCTTGTTCAGTTCTATTCTTCTTCACAATACGCTTGTCCCCAGCAGCACCTCAGCTGACGCCCACACTCCGCAGTCAAGCACCATCCTTCATCATCAGAACACACGCAGTTCTGCTTGCAACTTCTAATAAGATCAATGACTTCTGTCGTCTGCCTGCCCGGGAGAGTCTGGTTCATATAGCAAGTTGAAAAGATGCTGTCTTGACAGGCGTGGTCCTGGGTAAGAGTTTCCCACGCTGGACCAAAGTCTTCAGAATCACAGAAGAAGCATTTCAGTTTCAGCGTCATGTACACTCCTATTAAAAATACCCGATGGAGAGACTTTAAAAGAATTGCCAGTGAACAAAATAGACCATCATGGTAAATCATTGCTTAAACAACAGTGTTTATATGAAAATTTAGCTTTTTATTGAAGTTGTTCGCCCAGCTATTTGCGGCGAGAACTACTGAGCGACGGGTAACTGCACGATGATTGCTGTTCTCAAAGGATGTGGTGCTCTTTCAACACAGGTTATGCATGCCAAGGCATTTTTGCAAAGTTGCCTCAACAATTCGTTGTAACCTATTTTAAATGCCTCTAGCTAAGAGTAAAAGAATCCTACACAAGTCCTCCTGGCAAGTGTTTTTGCAGGGTGGCGAATCCGGTATTTTTAAAAAATACGCGCTTTGGCTGCATGTCTGGAAATTTCTTTGCGACTCGACACGGTATCTACGGAGTCTCGATCTATAAAACAGCTTCTGTCTCAGTCTCGAAAGAGACGTTAATCTTGCCGTCTTGCAGAGTCCCAGATTTCCCGTTTTGTGAGCTCAATGTGAGAACAATCCAGTCTTTGCAAGTACCAATTTTTTGTGCAGTAAACAGACAAGTTATGCGGATTCATTTCAGAGAAGGAAACTGGTCGTAACTCAGTTACCAGTTTGCCTAATTCAAGGAATATTAAGCTCCATTCCAGGGAGGGGCGGAGATCATGGGAATTTATTCCCTACTCACCTTCCCCTCTCTGTTCATGAACCAGAGAAGATGAAACGGGTCCCTCCAGGGAAGTCCGTGATCCTTTATTCCATAAATTGTACCATACGGCTAGAGTGAAGCCTGGAAATGAGCAGGGACACTTTGGTGAATTTTTGTTTTGGATATTTCTACTAAGTCTGCCAATAAAAAAGAAAGCTAAGCTACCATAACATATAAATACCTGCCGCCAGAGATTGGAAGATGTCCACGCATTATTAAATATTTATTCCAATTCGTCATTTGAACCCGAATTGAACAAACCAGATTTTAACCGATTGAGGCGGTTCTAGTCAGTTAAAGGACCCACTCAAGTTGAAACAAAAATTTAATTTTAAAAGGTAAATTACTATTTTTACCTCACCTTTCTTGGTTCAACTCTTACCTAGAAAGGTACAGACAGCGAGGATTTGTTGCCATTGTGGTTTGCTGTGAAATCGTTTCACTGTTTCCGTTTGTTGATGCATTCTAATTTCCAATTTTTAAAATAAACTCCACGGTTTTCCGATAAAAACAAATGTCGAGCCTTGGCGATAATTTTACAGTCCATGGATTGTGTTAAGTTAAATTTTCGGAGTAAAGGCAGTCACATTTTCTGTTACACCAGTGTTGTTATCCTCCAGTTAGCTTTGCAATCACCGTGACAGTTCTTGTTCACTTATTGGCTGACAGTTTAGCATCAATAAGAGGTATCGACAAACTTGCACGCCTGCCTTATCGGTTATTTAAGTTTTTTTTTCCTTTTGCTTCCGATCAAATGCAATGTATACCGTGTGGTGTGCCAAGAAGATCATAAAACAACAAAACAACAGATTTGAAGTACCTCTGATTATAAATTAATCAAACGTGGCACAAATTTGCAATAGGCGACTTTATAAAGACATTACAGAGACGAATCGTTCCCAGGGTTTCGGGGCCGCTTTCCAAGATGGCGACCTGGAAAGCAACGCGGAGGAGGTCTGGAGACAACAGTAATAGACTCGGCTTTCGTTACGAATCAAAGACAAGTAATCGCGCGATATTGTTAATTTCATGCGCTTTGAGGCTTGCGATTTTTTATAAAACCAGTCGACACAGATGGCCCTGTTCCTCAGCTTTTTTTTCTCGAGGAATTGATAATTCAAATTTCAAGGAAACATATTTGAAAGTGGATAAAATATTGAATCCTCATAAATGTTGATTGGCGGGAGATCAATATGAATACACAATTTATTTTCATATTATTTAAGAAAAATAACAGACGTTTTAATTTGGTTACCTTTACTCAGTTTCCTTCGTATATTTTACGAAGTTAAATATTGAAAAAATTGACAATCACTTTGACTGCTAAACCAATTTAACCGTTGTATATACTACTAAATATTTCCATATATCTTTTCATTTATGAACAGTTTAATCAGTTGAGTAAAACTAAAATCTTTCAGACAGATCCGATTTCTAAATATGAATGAAAACAGGTCCATTTGTTATACATCGCACAATTTTACTTGTTATGTAATTGTGGTGGTTTGATTACAAATGGCCACGGCTGGTTTTTTTTGTGTTGTCTATATGAAAACTATCTCGATTCCTTTAAGTACTCTTTATCTCCAAATGTCCAGCATGCATCGACCACTATTGGCGTTAAAAAAATGTCAGACTTGTTAAGAAGGCAAAATCCACGGTTGGTTTTCGAGATGAGCTGTAAATTTTTTTGTTGAACCAAGGGGTTTTGCTGTCACAAAATGTCACTGTCTGCAAAACAAAGCAGTTACGTAACCCAGAAGCAGTTCTTCTCTTAAAATATTAACGCAGTTTATGGAAAAATAGCTCGTTTTTATGCCACTTAAATTCATCTTAAATTCATTAAGCTTCAATGATGTGTCATTGTTAAGCATTTTAAGAAAACGAGTTTCGCATTACTTGAATAGAGTTACCGCTAATCTCAAATAAAATCCCGAAATAATAATTTTATGTTCAATATATATCCATTTATCGTGGAGAATCGAAATAGTAACAAGCGGTTAACTTGAAAAAGATGTATTCAACAAATTTATGCGCCAGGCATTTGGTTTAGGAGCCAGAACTTTCATTGACGTCAAAACAGTGTTGGGATATAATATATCAATTTGTCGACGATATAGACGGGTCTCAGAACTAAATCAAATAAAATCAGTGCTCCTTGTTAGATAAATCGATATGAAACAACGATATGGTTCAGAAAAATAATACCCCCAACTATTGAAAAAATCCGAAAGAAAGAACCTATTAAAATAGTTCTATACTTCTGCGTCGTGCGAGAGCAGGATTTTACAAGGCTTTCGCACATTGTATGTCGACATTTGTTTGTCTGTTTTTCTCTCGTTCACCTCTAATCTCATTTAGCCATAAAAGAAATCAAATTCAAGATAAAAGCCAAGACATTTCTAATTTATAAGTGGCAAAACTTTATCAAAGTCTAGCTTGTGTGATTGGCTTTTCAGGTTATGGATAAAGATCAACAATGTACTTTTTTTTTCTGATCACAATTGATTCTGTGCGCACGCTCTTCCAGTCGATCTTAAATCGCCCAATGCCCTGACCTGAGAAGCTTGCTCAAGCGATTTGGAGCGTCGGGAAAGAAGACCATACCACAGCAGCCGAAGATGAAACAGGGTTAATTAAAATTCTTTGTTAGCTCAGTATGGCACGGCAAAGGCGAGCTTCGCCTTTAGCTTCTGAGAGCACTACCGCAGATCAGCGATCGAGACTCATGGAAAAGGAAAGCGACGCAGCTCGTTCACAGGTAAGGTGTTGACTCAAAGTTCGCGTAAATTGAAAAAAAAAAAAAAGCAAAGAAAAGATTGAAGTCTAAACCGAAATCAGAGTGTTAGTTAGTTCATTTCAATCGAATTTGCATGATTGTGTTTGTAGCTTTTGTAAACAAGTTCTTCATTTATCGTAATCACGAACATCCATACAGTTCTATGATACCCAAACATGGTTGCCCTCCTAGCAAAATTTCACCGCAGCCACAAAAAAATACACATTTTTGAAAGATTCTTCAGATGAACCCTCTATTTTAGTTCCATGCAGCTTCTCCGCATTATTTTTGAGAAAGAAAAGGACTTTTTGAAGCCAATCTTTTTGTGGCATGTTTCGAAGCACGTAGACGAAACAAATCTTCGCGATATGACACTAGTTTAAAATTCTGATAGTCTAGGGACATTGCCGCGGCTTACATTGCTTTAGGTCTGTGTGTGTTTGATTTAATTTCACAGTTCTTTATTATATATCATTGAAATATTCTGAAACCTGGGACGGCTTATTTTCTTCGCCCGAGGGCTTGTTTTTAAAGGATTCGAAGTAAGGAGCTCTCCTTCAAACGATAGAGATTGTTGAAAACGAGCCAGCGTTTTAATGAAAAGCTGAGTACAACTAAAAACAATTTAGCGATTCGACGCCAAACGATACAGAACGTATTTCAGTGGCTTTACATTATTTTTGTCTCTTTACCGTGAGTAAAGGTAAAACATTGTTTTGAAAAACTGTACAAGAGACCACTTGTTTTTAATTCTCTCCTTTTTCATTCAACGACTATTTTTCAATCAGTGCATGTGGGTAGTACGAGATTAAATAAAATGTGAAGCGAAATTTATTTTGACTCGTGCACTTTTTGCAAAATTAATATAAATTTCGTTCGGTAGCGAATAAACGCTTTTATTATTCACAATTTTGCTGACATGAACAGATGTATTTCGTGCTTTCTTTTTCACTTTTAGACGCAGAGAATCAACGGAAATTGGGTATACGACAAAACTATATTATGCAGCTCAGAAAACTGAGCGATCAAAGTGGCTTTTATCGTGGAAAACCGGCCAATGAATGCTAAGAAAAGAACCAAGTAATTGCATCCAGCTGGTTTTCCTTTGAAATTTTATTTTATTTTACCACCAGACTAGAATGGCCTAAATTATTCACAGAATCCTTCCGAGAACACGATTGAGAAAAGACGAAACGACTGCCTTGCTTCCGTGATTTCGCAAAGAGCGAAAGAAGAAAAACATTGTGGTAGAACCGCGACAAATGTCATGTTTCGCGATAAAATAGCGCGCACGATTAAATTTCAGCTTAAATTTCCGACGCCATATTTTTTTGTCTTTTCATTTTCAAAGAATATCCGATTTCGAATATTGTGTTCGCGCCAAACAAAGGCAAACACACGGGAGGGCTTTGCATGTGATAAACAATTGATATTCATTGTACAATTGTCCACACTGACACTACTAAGGAGGTGTGTGATCGGCCCGAACAAATTGGGGGCTTTCTTCCGACGACGCTATTGGTAGAGAGGAAGCGGATAATGAGTCACATAGACTTTTTGCTTTAGGCGTTATTTACTGGGTTATATAAATATTCGTATTTGACATGTTACCCGTGCTACCGACGTTTTGATGTGTACATATACCTTTCGTCACTCAGGTCGCGCAAGGCGAGAGTCCAAGGAGTGAAAACCTGGAGGACTCGGATTCTGGTGAACAAGACAAGTTCATTGGAATAATGGGCGACACAGCGAAACGTTTTTCCTCGCTTCTGACGGTTATTTGTCGCACAGCCAAGAGGTCTGCAAACAAGGTGGCGAAAATACGAAAGAAAAAGAATGGCGGAGAAGATATGAGTAACGTACCGCCAAAGGTTGACGCGGTTGTTGGAAGCCCCTGTAAAACGCGTGGATCAAAAAGCTCTGCTTCAAGCGTGGATGAAAAAGGTGTATACGATCTCGCATACAAAATGATGTGTTAGCAATTTTTAATTTTCCTTATTCGATTTCAAAGAGAAAGTAGCATTTTAATAGGTGTTTTTTCGCCCACAGTTGAACAACATTTCAATGAGACTTATGAACTGCACCAACTTCTTGGCCAAGGAGGATTTGCTGTTGTGTATTCCGGAACCCGAGTCCGAGATGGTCTACCTGTAAGTGCGGTTTTTTTGTTTCTCGTTATCATTTCGGCACGGGGAAGTCAATGTCTGTAGGCTGCAGATAGGGCTTTAGATCCCCCCTGATGGCCTACAGATTATGGTTTCCCCTGACGCAATGGTTTAAAATGAAAGCCGCAGAATCTAGTGGAGTCTCCGCATCCAAGATCCAATGACAACCTAATGTTCCAATTGATCAAGTGTTCCGATCCAATATTCTGATCATGTGTTCTGATCAAATGTAAGTGTTGATGCAGTCATACTGATCAAACGCTCTAATCGAAGGATTCTAAATTCGTTTCTGCTTTTTTATCGTTCAGCTCGAGCGGTCTTTGGAAATTTTTCTTTCAGTTTTTACAACGAAAATAGCATATAAAAACCTTTTAACATACGCGTATTTGTCTTCGTGGTGTTTTTAAACTCATTTAAACATAATGTTGGTTGAGATCAACAGATGCCGTATTGCCTGTACGAATGTTCTTGTTTTAATTTTATTATTTTTGCAAAATAAGAGGACTGTTTGCATCTAAATATAAACAGCGTTTGGTAGCAAAAGCTTCTCGCTTTATGAAACAAATTGGTGTTAAGCACTAGTATGAAAGCTTGTACCACGAAAACATCAAAATTAGACTTGAAATGTCGAAGGCTCCATAACAAAAAGTCGGAAGCGTTCGGCACCTGCTAAGGGTTATTAAATTTAAGCAGCTTTTAGCCTCGTTTTATGCCTTTTTGAAACGTGTACGGCAGCCTGAAGTTATTTTTCTTATAACTGAATGCTCATGTTCCTCAGCAAATTGGCACGGCTAGTACAGCCTTAAAATAAATAATGATAACAGACGCATGCTGCTGTAAGTTTCCCTCAGTGCTGGTCAATACGGCTATTATCTCGCACGGTAAGCAATCAACTAGAACAGTCTTATCACCCGAGGCGTCAAACGCTATTATCTAATTCATAACATTGAGCTTTTTAATAGTTCTTCAAAATTTCCGTATTTCAGAATTTGGCTGGCTAAGTCAGTCGAGAGCGTTATAGCTGGCTTATACTTTATAGCGCTTATTGAAACAACGACGGATTTTAAATCAGCTTCATTTTGTTAAATTAAAATATCTTCACGTGCGAGGCAAAATGAAACAGAAATAAAAATATTTTATTCCATTTTAAATTTTATTCCATTTTAAATTTATGCCTGTCAAATTTTAGTTTTATATTTTTTGAAATATTTTGTCTCTCCTAACCGTAATTTCAGTTGACTTAATTTCATTTTTGGAGTGACTGAACAACAATTTTTTTAATTTCATTTTTGCTTTTGTTCGTCGAATGTCTTATTTCAAATTTTTCTTTAATTTGAATAAATCACGTGCATGTTTGAGTCATAAAGCCTTTGGGACATCTAGGCCTTTCTACAAATATCCGGATATTTTTTTGGGATGTTTAGAAGTTTCCAAGATATTTAGAAAATAGTTAAAGATATTTCTATTATTTAGGGATATTTAGAAATTTTCATAGCTTTTTGACTGAGTCCTGTATTTTCCTCGCGAATTTTCCTGAGGCAATATTCAGTTTTATCCCAGAAACAACCCAGTTCAGCGATATCCCAACTGAAAAATGTACTTCAATAATTTCATATCACTACAAGCTCAAACGGCCTCAGTTTTCCAAAATGACGGACGCCGGTAACATCGAGGTGCCTGAATCTTCTTCCTCTACTTTTACTACTGCAAAAATTTTCAATTTTTTTTTGGCCTAATCGATTCAAAATCGGTTCATTTTTAAACCAAAAAATAAGGGGATATTTAGAGGGTTTTTCTAAATATTTAGAATTTTTTGTGATGTTTAGAAGATTGTTTGAGAACTTCCGGTAAAACATTCAGGCAATGTTACGTGATATTCGAGGAAAGGCCTACGGACATCCTGATATTTCTCTTGTATTACAATCGATCACCAGATTGATTAATTGATTCAACTTTTCCAAGCTGCCAGTGCTGTATATTTGACAGGTGACATGGCAAACAAAGAGAATTGTATAATTGTCAGCTGCGGGATCTTGTTTTGATAAATCACCAAATTCTCAAACTGTCAGCGAAAGAAATGAATGATATTCAGTAAAGAGAATCGATATTTTGTGGCCGGGAGGTAAATTGCTCAAAGTGATTGCGAGATCCCTTAGGCACGCGGCGGCCACAAGGAAATCTGTTCAAAATGTACTTACAACTTTCAACGAATATTTTCCCTGGTCAGGACTGCTACTCCGTCAGCGGGTAAGATGAACCAAATCCTACGCTGTGATTGGCTACCCGAGCGGGCAAGATGGCGCTTTCTTGCCCGTTCGGAATTACCTGCAGTTGCACGCAAGAAACGACGAAGAAAAAACGAGAAAAACAAGAAATGACTCTTCTATTTACGTTTGATTTGTTTTTACTCTTTTTCTTTCCCTGTCCTTTATTACGCACGTTTCATTCCACGTTTCCTCTCTAGGCAAAGTGTTAAATGACTAATTACTTGCCCAGTGTTTTGCTTATATTTCAAGGGTTTTACACCAAGTTTATTGACTAAATAAGTGAGTGATATTTCTCTCATTTCCTAGGTGGCAATCAAGGTTATTCCCAAGTGCAATGTGTACTCTTTTGAAGAGGTATGTTAATGCAAAGCTTTGAGCATCTTCGTATAGTAACAAAAATATTTCATTTCATTTGCATCAAAGTGTACTGAAGGTGTCAGTTCATATTTAACTGGAAAAAGATAAAAATAAATTCTTTCTTCGCCATATTTTGGCTAGTTTGGTACTGAGATCATGAATAAAAAACTAAGACAAATGAACCATTCGACACAGGTCTTAAAACATTAAAAACAACCATCAATCAAAATTGATAATATAAACAGTTTTTCTACTGCCGTGGTCCGATTTAACTTGCCCTTCCAAGAGTAAGTAATCAGCTTGTAAATTCTCCTCACAATATTAGTAGATTATAAAGTGACTAAATAGTGAGAATTACAAATAGAGAGAACATGGATCGACAGTCACGGTGTTGCGAAAGCAGGTTTCTTTGGATTCTCTCTTCTCAGTGTTCTGTAAGCCCGGCCAAAAATTATACACAGAGAATTGAGGCATCCTGCGGGAGTTTATGGCCTTTTCTACTAGTAACTTAGCCTAAAACTAATAGGTTTGGAGAAGACAAAAAACGGCTCCTTGTAATTGGTGTAGAAGACACAGGACACGTCACAGAAAAGCGCCTCAGAAACTCATTGTTTTCATTGCTTTCTTCGTTCTTTTGTCCTTTTGTTCTCTATTGTTTCATGTCAACTGTCCGACTTCTACACCAAGAAAGAGCCCCCAAAATCGTCCCCAGTGTTCTCTCTTCTCCTCTCCAAACTGTGGTCCCAGCTCCCTCTCCACCGTTACGCTAAGCTGCCTGCGGCTTTTGTTCGTCTTTGATTTTTACAGGAAAATGAAGTCCCAATTCCAATGGAAGTTCACCTTCACCGCTTCCTTGACCACCCTAACGTCATCAAACTACTCGACTACTTCGAGCATGCGCAGGCCTATGTGATGGTGTTGGAACGGCCGCAGTACCACAAGGATCTGTTTGACTACATCACAGAAAAGCGTCGATTGGAGGAAAGCGAGGCGAAGAGTATTTTTCGCCAAGTTGTGGAGGCGGTCATGTACTGCGAATCAAAAGGAATCTTCCATCGTGATATCAAGGACGAGAATATCTTGCTGGATTCCATGACAGGTCAGGTGAAATTGCTCGATTTTGGCTCAGGCACGGTGCTGGAGAACACCTTATACACTGATTACGAAGGTGAGTATGACTGAGAATAATGTCACGCAATCGTCGTTGAAATTGTGACACAGTCACGATGCAAACTCTAACGAAATCGCGATTCATGCTGTCACAAGAAACGTGATGCATACATTGGAACGCGGTTTTAAACAAAAACGAATGCAAAGGGTGACGTCATCCAGATAACGAGGGACAGTTTTCTGTACCACGTGACTTAAAAGAGATTGCCAATACATTCAATGGATGCTTAAAGAAGTAGTAAAAAACTCAAAGGAAACGTGGTAAACTGAATGATTGCATGGTAACAAATGCCCGACTATCGAGTTAATTTACGAACAGTTCATTTATTTCTTGGAAATGTTCTTTCTAACACTAAAACAACATCTCTTTCATGATATGCACCCCAGTTAATAAGTAGCATATTAGCTGCTTAAGCTGAAGGGAAAAAATATTAATAAAATTGAAGGAAATACGATGTAGCACACGTACAAACGCACCTGTCATTGTGTTTCTTGCTCTAGGAACCCGAGCGTATTGTCCTCCAGAATGGTTCCGCTTTCATCGCTACTACGCACGCCCAGCTACTGTGTGGTCACTGGGGATACTGCTGCACAACATGATCACGGGCGACGTTCCTTTTTCGAATGAAGTGGAGATCGTCAGGGCAGAGCTGAATTTCTCGGATGATGTTAGTAAAGGTAAGAAAAAAACAGATTCACATCACAGAAATGGCGATTCTCAGTGGAAAGTAATCGTGGTAATACACAAGAAGGAAAAGAAGGAATACATGAGGGAAAGTAACTAGCTTGCATTGTAGGCGTAGACAGGGATTGTGTAGGCGGGAGGCGGAAAACGCGTGGAAGAAGCTAAGGCAACGCAACGCGTTCTTTTTCTCACCCATTCCCCCCTCCATACATCTTCACTCTCTCTCTTACCGTCTCCTCCATTTTACGCCTGCTAGCTGCCTGCTAAAAGGGGACATAAGGACGGAGATATAAAGCAATTGATGTTTAGTAATGCAGAGGAAAATATAAACCCTTTGCATAAATGGCAATAAAAGGATGTACAAAGTATTGTTATTCAAATTTAGACGCCATTTATAAAAAGGGTCTATGGGCGTTGGCAACTAAAATAATAAAAAGAAAAATGAAGGGTTGGAGAAATAACAAGTGGTAACCAGGCCTGGGAGATAAGGAGAACTACAGGGTAGGAACAATTAAAAGAAGCGAAACAAGAAAAGTCAGGGTAAAAGAGAGTGTTATGTCAAAAATCTGATGTCTATTTGTATCCTTCTATACAGACTTGCAAGATATTCTGCGATGTCTTTTAGCCAAGCACCCTTCTTACAGACCCTCTTTGGAGGTGATAATAGAACATCCTTGGCTTCAGCCCCATAGACACAAACACCGCCCCTCGGACAGGAGACTGTGTCAAAGCGTTCCTATCCCTGGGGAGAGCCTTGGAGAGAGGCGAGAGCGGCAACCGCATCGAGGATCAGCTCTTTAAGCTAAGACCAGAGGATTAAAGAGTTATCATATAAATCACCTGCTCTGGACCACGGTAAACAATTTCTCCTAATTAAGTCTGGCGAGGAGCAACCTAAGCACGTGCAATATGGACAGTGTATGTGTAACGCACGGGCTCAAACATATGCGGGTCACGTGCATGAATACAACAGAGTATGACAGATTTACAAACCAGATCGTACTCTGTTAAAAACGCGAAATTCTACAGGAGCCTCCGCGTCTATTGACAGCATGTTCTGCTGAGTTGATGGCAGCCGTGTCTTCTTTGGTTTTCTTCTAGAATGATTGATAAGTCTCGGAGCTGTATCGTCGTGATGGCAAAATAACAGCGGTGCCGGCTAATGTGAATCAATTGAGTCTAGAAATATGAAGCCCTGGCTAGAAAACTAAAAGGACGGCCGCGAAGTTCCCAAAAGGGACATCCTGTATTCTTATTAAAGTCGAGACAACGGCATGTTCTAACCAAAGGAACTCACTTGAACTAGAGCTGTTGTAGATACTATATGTTTCCAAACTTGGTTTAATCCTGTTCCGAAAGGATGGAAAACAGAAATTCAGGGCTGTTAGTGGCCTCCCTAACTTTACCAAGTTGCCAGACAACAAGACGTCGTCTTATAACGTCCCGCTGACGTGCCGGCGATGTCTTGATAGGAGGTTAGGGAATCGGTAACTATTCGAGCGCGAAGATTTGCCGAAAACTATTCGGGTGCGAAGATTTCCCGGCTGAAACCGGGAGGTACAGTTGTTGGAGTTATAAGCGAGGTAGCCGAAGTATCTGTCGAGAAAAGCGGTTTTACATCGAGCGAGAAAAGTTTGTATAAAATAAAGATTTGCAAGAAAAGTTTGTATGTGATGTTTTTCATCGATGATTATAAAACGTCAAATATGTTTCCTTTCGCCTGTCCAGTTAGCATTGAGAATCAGATCACTAGTGTTGAGAGAGATCTGGGAACGAGAAACTCCAGTTAGCTGCCGGTAAAATGGGTCGCGGGGGAGGGCGGGGGNGGGGGGGGGGCCTTGCAGGGAAATGCCACTTGCTTGCAATTTCTCCTGTATCACTTACTCAAAATGGTTAATAACTTCCTTAATACAGTCTTGGGCCCAGCAACTGTGATCCCCGATCTTATGGGACCATCAGAGAAAACGACTGTGAACGAGACTGACAGTAATTGTTTTTAATAGAAAATCATACTTATTGCGCATACCACAAAAATAATTCCGTCATTTTTAACACCATAAATATCACAAAAAGTGCTGTCTGAAATGA